TTCCTTGTAAAGCTTTGTGAATGATTGACTTCGTCTCAATACCGAAATTAGCCCGGTATGACTCAGACTCGGAAAACGAGGTGAATCATTCGCGATAAACATTATGTAGAATGGCTAGTACTGTACATCATAGATTAAGCATAATTATAACTGAAAGATAACCCATATTATTGGCATTTTATGAAAGTTTGAACGCTGAGTCTTTTTATATTATCATATTGTGAATACTCTTATATAAAAATTGGATAAATTAACCTAAAATATGAAATTCTATAAATATCATCCATTAAATGATATTACAAAAATAATCAGGATATAGTACAGTATTAATACTACAATATTTCCGTAATGAAAGTCGTTCAATCGTAGTTGATTTTCTTTTTTAGAATATACTACAATTATTAAGTGTAAAAATTCATATATTAATCTAGCCATTTATATTTCGCAACCAATTATTTTATCTATAATCCTATTTCCTACCCATATAAATTAATCATCTAGTTTAAGCGTTTTGTTTAATAATTTAATATTGTATCATAGATCGTAATATTTTTTCTTAATCATTGATTTTGGCATTTCCATTGGTATGGTAATATAAATGACTTGCATTTTCAGCCGCAATCAAAATCAACGTTGCAACTGTTTATACGCATACTATTCAATGGTCAATAGAATCAACTAATGATTTTAAAACAAATGATTCGTTGTTTGAGTCCTGCTCTTTATCACCTCCACTTCCACTTCCACTTCCGTTAAGGAATTTTCGCGGGATTTCTCCCTGTCCTTGCATAGACAACCTTCTATTATAATCGCCATAATACCCTTGATATGCTAATCTTCCGTCAGCATTATAAGGTGGTAATGGATGTTGCCCCATTGATTGCCTAAATGGATCGTTCAATACTGGCATGTGGCCGGGTGCTGACATTGGAGGGGGGCCTTGTCCCCCCGAAGTTGCTGGTGCAGATCTATTGTATTGCTCCTGAACTTGAAAATGTCCGTTTGGTCCTGGTGCACTAGGTCCTGACATAGGCATTGGTCCTGGCCCTGGTCCCGGTGCAAAATTATGAAATGGAACACTCGTATGTGGATCTGGTCCCATGTTAAATTGATTGAATTGCTGACTCCCTTCTGCTGATTTGGTATTGTATTGTTCGTTAGCAGTGCTGGAATTATTCAAAATAGGACTGACATAATTTTGTAAACCAGCATTTGGAATGTAAGGAATTCCAATTACAGCACACATCCAGATTCTAGTCTTATAAATTCTAAATAATTCTCTTACCAAATCTCTAAAATCGATTCTCTTATGTGTTGAATAATAAAAAATTAGCTTCTTCCTATCAAATTGATACTCCGCATCAATCAATTTCATTTGCAATAAATCCAAAGAGTTACTGGATGTAGGTCCATTAGGAGGAACCAATTCATTACCATTACTAGTAGCATTCGTGATATTTGCAATCTTGGCCAAACAAAGTCTGCATGCCTTCTCTTCATCCTGCTTCTTGTTCAAAATCTGTAGTATATCATTTGGCTGAGCTAACGAGATTATAGGTTTAGGATAATGCAACGTAGGTGGTGATATAGGCGAAGTTTGAAAATTCAAATTTTTGACCGACAAGTCTGTAACAACATCATTTTCAGATAATGCTGCCTGTTGTTCTTGAAACTGCAATAATTTCATCAACCTTGCCTCATCGATGGAAATGTTCATCTTGAAAATCTTTCCCAAATCTCTGCCTCTATCTGCCTCCACGATAACCAAATCCCCAATCTTCAAATTTGCGACTTCGTTAGATGCTGGTAAATAAAATACATCGACTCTACCTGCCTTAAACCCAACAAGTACCAACTGATAGTTCCTAAGTGAGTTTTCAATTGGAAACTTAGGTAATTGGTAAGATTCTCCTAGATATTTCTCCTCGTCAAAATATCTCTCATTCAACAACTGGACCGTCACCTTAACTCTCTCATGTGGGTCCTTTTCAAAATACTCATTAACCATTTCCAAAGTACTGTCATCCAGCAAAAAGTTGGGGTTTGGTGGTAATGCTGAAAGTGAGGGTTGTTTACCTACTCCAGCGTTAGTTTTATTATTGTACACATCTCCATAAGAGTGCCTCCTTAAATTAATCCCGTATTGCCCCAAATTCTCGTATTCGGACTGCGGAGGTGACTTGGGGCTGAATGATTGTGCCTGTCCCGCAAAGGAGTTCCTGTTGAACATTTGCGGCATCTGTGGTACCAAATCGTTAGGTGTACCTATACTACCACGGTTTATCGACCAAATGTTAGCATTAGCACCATTTGGAACATTGGGTCCATTGGGCCCGCCAGGTCCCTGTTGTCCCTGGCCATTAGCTCCCCCGGCCCCAGTGCCACTTGACACACTGTTTCCTCCACTGTTGCCACCGCTTCTCGGAACTCCCGTTCCAATACTTGCGTTGGTATTACTGTTGGCCCATATCGAGTCAAAAGCGGACGACCTTCTTTGCGAAGGAGAACCTTGACTGTTGGTCAACCATATCTGATCTTCTCCAAATGATGAAGAACGCATTATAACTGTCTTTTGCTAATACTAAATCCTATATTTGATTAGCCTGAAGAAAGAATGATCAAAATATAATTTAAGGATACTTATTCCCCTTATCAAGTATATTTAAGAGCAATAACTTAAGTCACCTGATTTCCAGAATCAGGATTTAGGTCGCTTTACACTTACCATAATTAAGTGATTCTAGTTACTATTAACGGTAGGTGATTGGCGGGGATCATAATATATTAAATTAGTTAATCTATTTGTAAGGTCATTCAATTGAAAATCTGTGTATACACATATACGACATCGATACGGGTTAATAGTATCGCACTATACTTCCCGTATTAACTTTAATGTGCGACAATGCGACTCACTAAAATCCAGCCTTAGTCATTGATGTATTACCCCGGGGCCAGAAGGTTACACATTTCGGTGGATATTATATAGTGTGGGGCTGCATTTCAAATGAAAGTAATTATAGTCATCTCGGGAAACAGTCTGGTGCAATAGGGGAGTACGCTCTATTGCCAAAAAGAGGAACGGTGAGGCTCATCGAGATTATCGATGATTATGACATATAGGCTTAGGAAGGTATTGGGGTCAAGTTTGTCTGACTTTGCATGGTTCTGGCTGTAATTTTCCAGGAAAGCCCATTACTGGTTCGTACAGTTAGTTTTATTCGTATTTGCATGGCTGATTATTGGGGATAATGGAGGAGGCAAAGGGTGTGCTGGTGTGGCGAAGTTGATTGGTATAAGGGGTAATAGAGAGGTGTTAAATTGTGTAGGAATTTAAATTATGCTCCATGTTGATATAGAGTTTATGTGTAGGATATATTGGCCGTATTTGTCAATTGACACTAGCATATATTCAATTTATTTACAAAGTTCATACTAACCTCGCCATTCTACCAGACACTTGGTGTATGAGGACTACATGCAATCTTAATGTACACTAAACTTGGATTCTCAGAAAAAGTATTAAATCTAACAGAAACCACAAACGTTGCTAACATATATTACACACAGAAATGAACTAACCAATTTATTGGTATTGTTGTTGGTTTGGCATATTGCTATTTTGCATGTTAGCAAAATATTGCTGGTATACATTTGGGTCGTTGTAACCCTGAGGAGGCATAGGCATACCAGCCTGAGGATGTCCAGCTCCCGGGTAGGGCATGCCATGAGGTATATGGGCGCCTGGAGGCATTTGCTGAGCGGTGGCAGCCTGGACTTGTTGCGCATGGTGGACCTGGGCAGCCTGTTGTTGAGCTTGTTGTTGGGCTTGTTGAGGTACTGGGCTTTGGTCTGGCAGCTCTTGCGAGTTACCGTCAGATTGATCTCCCTGGTCGTCGCCCAACCCTTCTTCTGGTGCATTCAAGCACGCCTGGATCAAGTTCTTACCTTCAGACTTGGTGACTAAGGGCTGTAATTTAGGAGTGGTGAAGGTATACACCAAACCGGTTTCACTAACAACCAACAACAAAACCTGCGTTCCCGTCAATACCGACAATTCGTACGCCTTCTTCATAATACCAGCTTTTCTCTTCGAGAATGTAATGTGACGCCTAGACTTGTCTTGAATGAATTTAATTTCAATCTTTCTTCTCTCCTTTTGTTGTTTTCCGCCGCTGGTTGGTTCTTCGTCGTCGTCGTCATCTCCTCCGGTAGGTGCGGTAGACGAATTAGACGTGAACTGAGTGTTTCCTGATCCACTAGATCCTAACTGTTCATCGTTATCCAACTTCTTAATGGTAGCTTCAGACATTTGCTAATATTTGTTAGTATTTACGTCCGCGTCGTCACTCCAATTCAAAACTTGCCATCATCAACCCCTCGCAATTAACTTCAACTTTCTATCAACAATCTATCTTCCCTAGCCCATACGTATTGCAGCTGAAATCCAAATCATCCACTTCAAGGTATGTGCAACCCTAACCATAATAGGAAATTGACTTGTACCCAATTAGGTAACCAGTCTCAACTTCAATTATTGAATTAGTTATGTCTTTCCTTCCAAGTTGCAAGGTAAAAAGGCTTGTCGTATTCTGATGTGGTCCTTAGTCTCTGAGTATAATCTGTTTGTATACATACTTTAAAATATTCCTAATGAGTATTTACTAATACTAAGCAGCTATTTTTTGACTAAAAGAGCAATCAAAACAAAAGGGGATGAACCAATTTGGTGTTTCTAAAATGAGAAATTTGGTGGTTTTTGGTTTTCGTACTAAAATTATGGTGTGCTCGTTTTTACTATTAGTGGTACTATGGATACGCAGATAAAACCTCTAGAAAATAGAAACTACTGGTAAACAGACCATATAGAGTCGTTGGGTCTACTAGCAGCATAATATATAGTGTAGATATTTAGTGAAAACTTTTCTACAATGCGTAAGAATTAATTTATAGTACATCTATTATACAGAAATAAGGGAAGCACAGATGAGTAGATATAATTAGGCTGTAACAAAGCTGTCTGTGTTGAAAGAGTCAGACTTTACTCCATTAGGTTCACTTGATGCATCCTGGGTATTTTCTGCAGTTTCTTGTGTAGCCGACTCAGGTTGTTCTGGTGCAGACGTTTCATTTTCTCCTTGTAATGAATCGGATGCTGCTTGAGCATTCGCTTGTTCAGAGTCTTGTTTTAGTTCCTGGTCAGGAAGCTGCTCTGGTTCTTGGGTAGTTTCGCCATTTTCTTCTACCATCTCTAAGTCCTCGATAGTATTTTCTTCGATATCCAAATCGCTCCATTTGCGCACAAGCTTCTTAACTTCCTTCTTGATTTTTGGATAGGGGAATCTCTCACTTGGTCTTCTCAAGGTAAGAATCAACGACTTTAGGGCCTTACTCTTCGTGTAAACTGATTTGGGTAAAGTTAATCCGTCTAGTTTTTTGAGGTTCTGCAATATTTCTGTCTCATTTATTGAGTCGGAGAGTAATTGGTCAGTCAACAATATATCTAACTTGTCAAATTGGTTATGGTATTTGGTTAACGAGTCGCTCAAAGATGCCGCCGACGGAAATTCGGTTTCAAATTTGATCTGATCCTTCTCTTTATCAAATATGTAATTCCCCTCGTCATAATTATAGTGCTTCACTCCATCCAAGCCCCAATCACTGTCATATCCTTCTTCTCTTGGATCGACCGGTTTCGACTTCGGGGTTACTGTAGATTTAGTTTCCTTTTTAGCTGGTTGCTTCTTGGTTGTTTTCTTTTTACTTTTAGGTTGTTTGGTATTTTTCTTCTGTTTCTTTCGAGAAGGCTCCTCGTAATCATCTTCTTCCTCTTCTTCTTCTTCGCGTTCCTCCTCTTCTATATCCTCGGCTTCTTCTTCTTCTTCAAGTTCTTCGTCTTCAGGAACATATGGAACTTCGACCGGCTCGCCCTTTGATCCCCATTTTATGAACAATTCCATGTCTGGTGGATCACTAGCCAATTCGTATGCAGTTTGCAATAAGTTATCCTTACGTTTCTTATCATTCTGTAAAAACAGATTTATCATTTCGTGATTTAAAGTTTTCACTTCATTACTCTTAATCCAAATGTAAGTATCATCGCTGAAGAATCGGACCGGTAATATACTTATTGGCTTGGACAGTTTTCTCTTAGGCGGTTGTTTAACACTTTTTGGTTTCTTACTAAGGATGTTTTCCGGTAACATAGTCTCTTCGAGAATCATCGCAGGCCATGGTGGATAACCTTTAACCTTTGCTAGAACTATTGATTTTGGTGTGTATGGGTTGTCATTCTTTGGCTCATCCTGTTGAACTTCTTTTTCTTGCGGAGACGTCGCTTCGGGTGTTTCTAAAGTTTTCAGTAATTCACTAGGTATAGGTGTATCTGAAGACATTGGAATTGATTGTTGATAACAAGATAGTTTGATTTGATCGATCTACTGTTAAATCTCTACGATTGGTATTTTGGTTGCGTAGGTGAAAAATTCCAATACACCAATTCGATTATACACGACTAATACTAAATTATAATCCAAATACTAAAGCAAAGATCATATAGAAAGACCTTATGAAAGTATACTGTGATTTATGACATATATATGCTCCATTAATATATATTCTTCAAGACAAAGAAGTCGTAGCTTGGGTTTTACTAAATTGAGTAATTTTTTCATTATTCTGTTTAATTTGTGAATTTTGCAGCATTTTGTTAAAACTATGGGTTTGGAACATAACCAGGTTAACTATAATGGAAATGATATCGATATGGATATTTAACCATAATAACTAAGAATGGTACCAACATATTAATGGAGATGTAGTTTGTTAAGAGAGGAAAATGAGCATATACTGTTAATACAGTTTTAAACCCAGATAATACGGATAATTCACATGGTGGAATAGTTGGCCTATCCTTTCAATTATTCCGAAGAATAACATATCAACATAAAGCGCCTGTCTATTAATATATATACTATTATGAAAAATATATCGTTCCTTTCTAATTTACAAAACATTTTCCCAGATATGCAAAAGCCCATTTTCGCTGGAACAAATAAGCCTATTTGAAGATGCAATAAATGTAACAACACTCAAAATACGAGACCTATTTGTACACCGGAGCAGAGGCGGTTCCAAGGTCTTAAACTCTGTAACAGTATGATCTGCTGGGTTGTGTTTCCACATGCAAACTACGCCTGTTTCCGACCCACTTATAATATATTCAGTCTCTGAGTAATAGTCTTTAATCACATCTGACGTTATTCTGTAGGTTAATTTGTCGTTAGAAAGTGTGACCTCTGACACTATCTGCAAATCATCGGAATCGCATAGCTTCAATTTACCATCTTCGAAAGTTATTAATGTCTTATTGCCCGGACATAATCTAACGTTTAACAAGCCTCCACACTCAAACCCATCCCGGATAATCTCTTGGTTTCTCAAGTCAATTCTAGTCAACCGGCCGTCAAGACTTGCTACTGAAAGAACTTTCGATATTGGATTATAATCTAGCGAATTCAAATTATCATTGCCAGCTTTAACACTGTAAATGGGCTTAGTTCTCTGGGGCTGTCGTAAGTCATGGAAATTAACAAAGCAATTAGTTCCACACGACACAACCAAACTATCATTCAATATTTTGCAATCAAAAACCTCATCTCTGATTTGTTCATTTATCGATTGAAATCTCATCAATTTGCATTGCTTGACCAGGTCCCACACATTAATTGTATCTCCTCCCCCCGACACAAATGTTTCCCCTGAACTACTTACATCAATGCTATTAACTGCAGTGATATGCTCTTTTGGAAATGTGGTTGATTGGATATGGTCATTACTAAGATTATGTAATCGTACTAAGCAATCGTTTCCTCCACCTGACAATACAAAGTTCGTCGACTTAATCAGACATAAGGAATTTATGGATGAGTTATTATGAGCTTGAAATGATCTACAGTACATGGAACAATTGTAGCATCAATGAATGATTATTTTTTTGGGAAAAGACCTAAATAAATAAACATCGTAATGGCTGAGCTGAACTATAAAGGATTTCGCGACAATGAATGTGAGCCCATTCTGTCATCACACTGTCCATTTCCTTATTGCTATGGATGATCCCCTGCTGCTCTCAAGTAAGCATGGCACAAACAAGCAAACAAAAGGATAGGGAAAAGTTATGTCCATTGGATAAAGTTTTTTGAAAGCTGTAATAATTCGTTCTGTAGATGATTTTAAGGTACCAAAACTATAACCGAGATTCGCCTAAAGCATACATATATATATTATAAATAGATTTGGAACATACAAAGCATATTATACCCCTTAATTTGTATCACAACCTAGCATTGTATATATGTCGAGAACAATAGAAGACTACCGCTGATTATTTAATATCGCATTAGAACGTTTATAACATACCAACCAAATTGCATCTTATTGGGTCGAGCAACTACAGACGCTCATACTATGTTTTGCATTCCAGAAATGAAGAGGTATATAAAGACTAACGAATTCCATAGGTTGTAGTCTCAATCTTTCTCTCTAGACATAAACAATATCTAATAATGTTAAGTTCCACTTTATATCCAGTTTTACTCTTAATTGCAGTTTCTAATGCATTTCTTTCCAACATTCCGGAAATTAATAAGTTAAGTACCAATGTAAATGCTAAGATTGCTGGTGCTGGTATCAAGACACCTCAAGACTTGTTGTATTCTGGTGATTATGTTTGTGATAAGTTTTCCTCCACTATTCAAGGCTCTAACGACACTACTGAGTTCCCAATTGATTTCAATTTGTATGTTGCCAACAACGCTAAGGCACCAGAAGAAAACTACACCGTTGATTTATATTTCAAAAACCCAAATCATCAATCCTTAAATGACTTTGCTGTCTTGAATGCTTCCGATTCAAAAACCGTGTTGGAACGTTACAACCCGCAATTGATTTCGAAACAACCAGGTTTCGGTGTTGAATTCAAATTCAACTTTTCTAAAGGCTTATTGTGTCAGTTCTTATACCAATTTACCGTTATGTACCAATTGGAAAAACAAGACGATCACTCGAAGACTTCAGACAAGATCTTCCTCGTTGGCTCATGTCAAGAAAATATGCGTTACCACCCAGACGCTTACAACGATTTAGTTTCCCAAGGCTTCAGATGTGTTGAATACAACTCTGGATACAAATATGATGGTGGAAAGGACTGGTGTACCGAATTCTATCCATCTGACCAATGCTGCAAGTCTTACCAAAATGATGAATTGACCGACAGAGACACCTGTCCTGCTAGCGGCTCATCATCTTCTGCTGGTTCGGCTTCAAGCTCTGGATTTGTCCCTACCACCTTCAGCACCTTAAACACCCAATCAACTGGACAAGCTTCATCGGAATCTTCTGCTGGTGCTGGTAATGGTTCTGGTGCTTCAGGACAACCAGCCCCAGGCCAACCCGGACCAGGTCAAAATGGACCAGGTCAATCAGGACAATTTTAATCATGAATATTCAATTTCCGCATTAAGCAACGTATAGTTCATTTTCTCGTACCACTTTACATTTTTCTGTTATACCTTTAAATAAAATTTAATGAGATCTTTTCATAGTCTTTAGTTTTCGCCTTTTGTAGTTCACCGAATGCCAGTATATTAATTGATTCTTCGAAAACCTCAATACCCAAATGGTTGATTTGATTTTCATATATCTACCATATCGAAGTTGATAACTGGGATAAACACAAAATTTAAACTTGCCATTGCACTGACGACAACTCTATAGGACTTTGGGAAATGAATTCGCAAACCCCAAAAAAGTTAGAGGTTATCTTGAAGTTTAGAATTAAGTCTCTTAAATCATTTAAAATGCTGTTGTCTTTGTAGATAAAATAATTTTACCAATAAGCAAATGCACATGCATAATAATGAGGTGGACGTCATTTTTAGAAAAATTTTCTGATAAGCTTTACTTGAATCAAAATTTATTACATCAGTACAGCTCTTTCTATAAAGAATTCAGTATTATACTTCTCTATTTGTGTGAAATCTCACATATTATACGCATACAATTTAACGACACAAGGGTATTCGTTTCATTTAATTTCTTTGAGGAATACCAATTCTTGCAAGCTGAATTATAATTGGAATGGCAGTCGTAGAACCTGTAGGTTCAATACATAAGCAACTGTTCTGATGGCATAATATTATGTAGGAGGTACTTCAGTTTGCGACTGCACTAGATTGGCAACTTTATTATAGAACTTAATCCATGTATATTCGGTATCGTATGAGAAGTTTTCTCGACCAAGCATTTCCAAGATAGTTGAAACCATCCCTTCGCCAATCAAGTTGTAATGCCACACATTGAACCTCCATATAGTTGCGCTTATTTTCCGTGCTTCTTGGATCGTAGTCTCTCCATCTTCTGCTTGCCAGATAAGTGTGCTCAACAACTTTAAGACAGCCGACAAATACAAATCAAACAGAAAGTCTTCAGGAGTCATTTGATGTGCTACGTTTGCATATGGCGAACCCCTTGGCCGGCAATGTGATTTAAAGTATACATATATGTTATTTTGCAATCTCACTTCGAATTCTCGAAGAGGTGTTGATTTAAGGTTTTTTGACTTCGCCCTTTTTTGAACCTCCAGAATCGTCAACTTTGGCACTATTTTTTGGATAGAGCAGTCGTTGTCAGATTGTTTTGCCACATCATCCTCAAAACGCATGTCCAATGATCCCCAAATTTGCTGTATTATTCCAATTTCATTATCTGTTAAATTGGAATTGCTTTCCCGAACTGATTGACTTCGACTCGGTGGCTGAAATGTAGTCTGTGGTGGCTGCGTAGCCATTTTCCTGCTCTGATTTCTTATCGGTAGTATCATAGGCATGGACATAGCAGGAAGCATGTTAATTGGACTTATATAAGAAAGCTTCTTCAAAATGCACTGTATGTTCCAATTTAATTACCGACTTTTATCAAATATCGTTTCATTTCACCTGCTCATCAACGACAACAATAAAGTTGCAAAATAAAAAATTCTCAATCCTGCACAACATTTGCGAGAAATTAGTCGTAAGGTACCAAAAAATCGTAATTTCTAGCCATTCAGGGGGCTCCAGGAATCCCCGAGAGCATTCTGCCTGCGAAAAAAGGGCTACTATCTATCAATGGAGAAACACACTAAGAGATTGACTCAAATATTTAAGATTAATTAAGAATATCACTCTAGTAGATCTTGGAATTCATTCGAAATTCATTCGCCGTAACTTGCTCCAAAATATCGAATAAACAAGCATAAATACGGGGGCAACGCTAGATAATGTATGAGACTGAAAAATTGAAAATGACAGATATCTGAATAAGCTTGTAGAGAAGTTAGGAATCTTGTAGTACCATCTCGATATAGCTGCGAATTTCGTAGCTAGCTTGCTTAATTAAATATATGTAAATTGGGCCAATTTATGTAAGCTCGGCACAGTGCAGGTCTTGGTAAAGGGATAGAAGATGTAGCAAGGGATGCAGGATACTTGAGCAGGTAATTATAAAGGTTTTTGCACCACGGGTGATTATTAACCAAATGGGCTTGAATTACCCGAAGGTGGTTCCACATTTGGATTGCACCCGATTGAGCCATATTTCCCTGAATAGAGCAATCTTTATATATATACATATTAATTATTCCAGGGTGAATTTTATTCATTGAAGAATATAATTAGAACAACTATAGAATGGGTGACTACTTGACTCCATCTGAATTACCACAGCCAAAATTAACGAGAACAAATACGGGATTCACTCCCAATCAGATTATCGCTCTTGATACATCGATCCCTGAATCTTCGAAGAAGATTTGGAATAAGCACACACATTTAAAGCCTTTTGACGTCAAGGAAAAGAGCTTTAAGGAAGACGAGACAAAGAGAAACACTTCGTTGAATGATAATGAAAAATTCGAGCAAGAATTTATCAAACATGTTGAAATTACGTTGGCTAGAAATATGTACAATTGTGATAACTTAGGTGCGTATCAAGCTGCTTCAAATACAATTCGGGACGAATTGTTAATTGATTGGGCCAATACACAACAGAAACAAACAATTCACGATGGTAAGCGGGTATACTACTTATCATTGGAATTTTTGATGGGTAGGGCTATGGACAATGCTTTGATTAACTTGAAAAGTAGAGAACATACCAAGGGTGCATTGCGCGAATTGGGATTCAATTTGGAAGATGTATTGGACCAAGAACCTGATGCCGCATTGGGTAACGGTGGTTTAGGTAGATTAGCAGCATGCTTTGTTGACTCCTTATCATCCAAAAACTATTCCGGATGGGGCTACGGTTTGAATTATCAGTATGGTATTTTCCAGCAAAAGATCATTGATGGTTATCAGGTTGAACAACCAGATTATTGGCTAGAATATACGAATCCTTGGGAGATAAACAGAAGTGAAATTCAAATTCCGGTTGATTTCTTTGGTTATGTATATGAATCTTACGATACCAATACAGGGAGACCAAAGAAAATTTGGAATGGTGGAGAACGTGTATTAGCAGTTCCTGTTGATTATCCAATTCCTGGATTCAACACTGAAAACACGAATAATTTGAGATTATGGAATGCAAAACCTACAAACGAATTTGATTTCAATAAATTTAATGCGGGTGATTATCAGCAGTCTGTTGCATCTCAACAAAAGGCTGAATCCATTACCTCCGTATTGTATCCAAATGATAATTTCATGCATGGTAAAGAGTTAAGATTGAAGCAACAGTATTTTTGGGTTGCTGCTTCGTTACATGATATTGTCCGTCGTTTTAAGAAAAACCACAAGGATAACTGGAAAAAGTTTCCGGATCAAGTTGCAATTCAATTGAATGACACACACCCAACTTTAGCAATTGTTGAATTACAAAGAATTCTTGTCGATTTGGAAGAATTATCATGGGATGATGCTTGGTCGATTGTGACAAGAGTGTTTGCTTATACTAACCACACTGTTATGACAGAGGCATTGGAGAAATGGCCAGTAGAATTGGTGAGTAAATTATTACCACGTCACTTAGAGATCATCTATGATATCAACTTTTTTTTCTTGAAGGCTGTGGAGAGCAAATTCCCAAACGACCGTGATTTGCTTAGAAGAGTATCAGTCATTGAAGAAGAAAACGGAAAGTCAGTAAGAATGGCATACTTAGCTATAATTGGTTCTCATAAAGTGAATGGTGTTGCAGAATTACATTCTGAATTACTCAAAACAACGATTTTCAAAGATTTTGTAGCCATTTTTGGCGATGAAAAGTTTATGAATGTTACAAATGGTATCACACCAAGAAGATGGTTGAAACAGGCTAATCCAGAATTGGCAAAGTTAATCAGTGAAAAGTTGAATGATCCAAACTATAGTTATTTAACCAATTTAGGAAAATTAAAAGGATTGGAACGGTTTGTGGACGATGACGAATTCTTAACCAAATGGGACATCATTAAGTTTAACAATAAAGTTAAATTAGCCAACTTGATCAAGCATTTGACAGGAATCACCATAGATCCAACAGTTTTGTTTGATATTCAAGTCAAGAGAATCCATGAATACAAAAGACAACAATTAAACATCTTTGCAGTGATCTATAGGTATTTGCACATCAAAGAATTACTTGCAAAGGGCGTTAGTATTGAAGAAATTAAGTTGAAATACTATATTTCAAAATGCTCGATTTTTGGTGGTAAAGCTGCCCCTGGTTATTATATGGCAAAAACAATCATTCATTTGATCAACGTGGTTGCTGATGTTGTCAATAATGACGAGGAAATTGGTAATTTATTGAAAGTTGTGTTTATTCCTGATTATAATGTTTCGAAGGCAGAAATCATTATCCCTGCTTCCGATTTATCAAACCATATTTCCACCGCCGGTACCGAAGCTTCAGGCACCTCCAATATGAAATTTGCCTTGAATGGTGGCTTGATCATTGGTACTGTTGATGGTGCCAATGTTGAAATCACTAGAGAAATTGGTCAGGAGAATATCTTCTTATTCGGAAATTTGGCCGAATCAGTTGAAGAATTAAGACACAAAAACGTCTATAATGGAGTTAATATCCCCGATTCTTTAAAGAAAGTATTCGATGCCATCGAGTCTGGTAGATTTGGTAACCCCGATGAATTCCATACGTTGATAGAGAGTATTAGAGATCATGGAGATCATTATCTTGTTACTGATGATTTTGATCTTTTCTTGGATACGCACATCAAATTAGAAAACATTTACGGCCACCATGGTGGAGACGCCAAAGATAAGGACCACTTACACAAATGGGTTAAGAAGTCTGTCTTGAGTGTTGCAAACATGGGTTTCTTTAGTTCTGACAGATGTGTCGATGAATACGCTGAAAATATTTGGGATGTAGAGCCATTGAATCCTTAAAACTTTCTTCTGAAATATCGATAGACTATACATAGTCTTATCTGTATTTATCATCTTAATTTCTTCCGTTTTGTTTGCTTGTGATCTTATATAGATGTAGTAGTTAATATACGATTTAGTAGTAGTTAATATACGATTTATGATGTTAAAACCTGGAATTCACGTGTAGAAGTTGTGCAGGAATTTGTTTCTCTAGGAGGAGCTATACCACTGGAAGTATTTTATATAGATGGATAAGCCTTTTTTGGAGTATTACCTGGTATCAAATCACTATATTATAAGAGGTATTCGAAAAGTGTACTTTGGATCTATACTAGTCACTTTGGTTTGTTGTTTCATAGAAGAATTGGTTTACATTATTCTGTAATATGGTGATCAAGTATTTATTGTTGATTCTTATCCAGAGTTTCGTAGCATTTGCACTTCCGTTTACATCTAGGAGTGATCCCAAGGCGGAATACTTGGTTACATATTTGCCGGGATTATATCTGAATATTCGTAAGGATGAGAGGCCGTTGATGTTTGCGGGTCAACTTGAATTGTATCCCGAGAATCAAACACATTACTTCTTCTGGAAGTACCAAGACACAAATCAAATTCCTGAAGCGAAAAAGAGGACTATATTCTGGCTTAATGGGGGACCAGGATGCTCTTCTATGGATGGAGCATTAATGGAAGCGGGTCCGTTCAGAATTAATAAACAGGGAGAGGTTATATATAACGAAGGTTCGTGGCACAAATCTGGAGATATTGTTTTTGTCGATCAGCCTGCTGGAACTGGTTTCAGTTATTCAGACGAATACGATCATGATTTGGATCAGATAACTGTGGAGTTTATAAGGTTCATGGAAAAGTTTTTTGAGTTATTCCCTGAGGATGCATCGAATGAAATTTATTTTGCGGGTGAGAGTTATGCTGGTCAGTACATCCCATATATCGCCGATGGAATATTGCGCCGTAATAAGAACTTACGTAAAGGCGAAAAACCGTTTAACCTTAAAGGGTTGATGATTGGAAATGGGTGGATTGCCCCAAATGAACAGAGCTTGTCTTATTTACCCTACTCGGTTCAAGCTGGCATTATCAAAACAAACAATCCTAGATGGAGCCTGATTTTGCGTCAGCATCAGGAGTGTCAGGATATAGTTAGTAAGAATGACGGGCCTGACGGCTCGGAAGTTTCACAAGTCGTTTCGAATACGTGTGAACGAGTGTTAAACCTAATTTTAGAAGCTACCAGAGACCAACTGGCCGCGAAGGATGAACAATGTATTAATATGTATGATTATACCTTGAGAGACTCGTATCCTTCTTGCGGTATGAACTGGCCTCCGGATTTAGCTAATGTTACACCATTTTTACGCGAGCAAAGCGTCATGAACGATTTGAATTTGATTAATCATAAAAAGTGGAGCGAATGTTCAGGAAAAGTAGGTTCCAGTTTCAAGGCTAAAAATTCGAAGCCTGCAATTCATTTATTTCCTTCTATTTTAGAGGAAATACCAATCATGTTGTTCAACGGGAACAGGGATATTATTTGCAATTATATTGGTGTAGAAGGTTTTATTAAGAAATTAACATGGAATGGTCAAACTGGATTTTCTGAAGACCTTGATGCATTAGACTGGGTCTATGACAAGAAGACAGCTGGCTACATCAAAACTGAAAGAAATCTAACAGTTGTTAATGTATTCGATGCGTCACACATGGTTCCATTCGACAAACCAGAAATTTCTAGGAGTTTGATCGATATAATAACTGGTAATTTTGACGAAAAAGAAGTTGATAATAAAAGCGATAAGAAAAAAAAATCGATTGTTACATATCCATTGGGCGTTCGAATGGCTAAACAGATAGAGGAATCAAAACTGAAAACATCTCTGACTTCGGCTACCCAATCAAAAACATCGAGTACACCTGCAGTATCTGGAAAAGCTTCAGCCAGCAGTACCACTTTAGAACAAGAACCCTCTGCAACGCTTAGCGCTGAAGCAGAGAAGTCTAAGAATCAACAAACTTCCAGCCGTATCACTCGGCTCATTCAGCTTTTAGTTATTGTTGTCCTTATCTGGGGTGTTTATATACTTTATTCGTCTTACAGATCCCGTCCTTCATCCATCATTAAAACAGGTCCTTCGGGTAAGAAGAAAAATGTCCAATGGGCCGACCAATTAAGACAATTTGAAGAGGAAGAGATCGAACAGAATGAACAAGGTATTTTGTCTAGGGCTTTCAATAAGTTGAAGGGCGGTGATAGCCGTGGCACATATGCTCCAACTTCCGGTAAAGTCTATGAAGATATTGAGATGAACGAAGGAATTACGGAACACACAGACAGTAGAGTTGACGATTTCATAATTGAAAGTGACGAGGAAGATGCACATGAAGAAAACCAGACCAATAAGCAGCTGGTTTCCAAATAGACGTATACTTACATAGTTATTTTGCACAATACATATATTATCCATTATATTAGAGGTGTTTTGCACCCATGAACGAAATGAACGAGCGTGTGTAAACCACAAAATAATTTTTCACTTCTCACATAAACTTATAATTAGTGAATGAAGCTTGATTGAAGTGAATTAAATATAACAGGACGTTCTACTATAAACTATCGATTGCATTTGTAAGCGGAATTTGAGAGATCCAAATACACCAGAATAATATATAGAAGAAAATATTTCGGTTCCTGATTTCCCACAAACTATTTGCATAAACATATTTCCCATAATTATAGTTCCAAGAACAAAATTACATACAATCAGTTGAATAAGGTGATCCAGATATAAAATATCATGTTCAGACAATCGATCCGTAAGTTAGCCACGGGAGCCAAAGTTTCTGGTGACGTTTCGTTTAAGATAGCAAGCCCACCAAAATACACATTAGGATCGTTGCGTAGTTTCCCATCATTGGAACCACATTCATTTGTTCCGTTACCCACACAGTTTTTCGATGCTCCATTGAGAAGAGACTTCTTATGGAGTGCCGTGGTCTTTGAGGCCGATCGTGCCAGGGTTGGATCTGGATATGTCTTCACAAAAGGGGACAAGTTATATTCCAACAGAAAGCTTCATCCACAAAAGGGTACCGGTAGAGCCAGAACTGGTGATGCCAACTCTCCTATCAGAGACAACGAGGTCAAGGCGCATGGTATCAAAGCACCACACGACTGGTCCACCAGGTTGCCTTCCAAGGTGTATAACAAAGCTTTCCAGACCGCATTATCAGACCAATACCGTAACGGGAGAGTTTATATAATCGGAGGTGATAAAACTGCCACTAGGGCCTCCGACGACGTCCTTGCTGACTTCAAGTACGACCACCCAGAAGCCACCAGGCAGTTTGTCGAAGCTCACGACTTAGACCGCTTGAGCTTGTTGTTCATCACCGATGCCCAAAGAGATAACTTGATAACCTCCACCGAATATGTCGGCAAGAAGGCCGATGTGCTCATTAAGGAAGCCGTCGAAGTCAGAGACATATTGAAGGCTAACCGTATCTACATCGAGGCCCCTGCCTTACAATGGTTCATTGGCAAATACTCCACTGATTCCAACTAGTCTTGTACATAGATAAAGCAAAGTACTATATATACACGCTAACCAGACTTATTTCGTATTGTAGTGCCCTGTACCGTGACATAAACCATATTTTGGTACTTCCAATTCCTAACCTTGTACTCCGTAAATGTCCTACATCTTTAATAACCTCAATCCATCGTAATCTACAAGTATCGTTCAATCCATTATCATCTACGAACATCTAAAGAAACATATATTCATCTTTCATTCTATATATTCATCTTTCATTCTATATATTCATCTTTCATTCTATATATTCATCTTTCATTCTATATATTCACCCTTCGTTCTATATTACCCTAAACACCGTTATCAGACTCTACAAACTGTACAAGCTGTACAAATTTACCGATTCCGTCTAATTCACCATTTCCATCATTGGGCATTTGCAACTACAAGTCTACCCACCCAAAACCACCATAACCCATCTAACAATAGGGTAATGCCCTAATTACGTCCTTATTTTCCACGTGCGGGCATCAGAAAAATTTTCAGTTTTTGTGCGGTAGACGTCCCTCTTACAATGCGCATAATTTTGTATGGGCAAACCTACGCAGTACTCAACGAAGCTAGTGAGATTGAAAAATTAAAAAAACTAGTAGAAAAATTTCAATATATCCAAACGTTTCGGAAATATAGCATAACAAACAGGCAAGATGTCATTAGTTGTCAGCGAAGAAGGTTCATTCCAACACATTTTACGGTATGTTTATAACTAGATCGATGATGAGAGAGTTTAATCCGTTTGAAAGTGGTTTTAGTATTGGAGGAAAATTTTTATCAATGAGGAAGACATAATGAAAGAACAAGTACAAGGGGTCACATAAATAGTAGAAGAACACATCGAATAAATCCACGAATGAAGTCACAGGAGATAGCGACGGATGAGAGACTATGGGGACTATAAAGTAGAATAGAGAGGGAATGGGAGGAAACATAATGAAAACGACTAAATTGGCATTGAGGAGGATATGAAGGAAGGAGAGAGAGAAAAATTAAGAGATACTTTACTAAGATGGACTTCAAACAGATTTACATTTTATGGCGAACGAATTACTAACATATTATAGTTTATTGAACACCAACATTGATGGTAGAATCAAGATCATGTACGCTTTGACTAAGATCAGAGGTGTCGGTCGTCGTTACTCCAACTTGGTCTGTAAGAAGGCTGATGTTGACTTAAAGAAGCGTGCTGGTGAATTAACCCAAGAAGAATTGGAAAGAATTGTCACCATCATGCAAAACCCAACCAACTATAAGATCCCAGCTTGGTTCTTAAACAGACAAAAGGACCAAGTCGACGGTAAGGACTACCATGTCTTAGCTAACAACTTAGAATCCAAATTAAGAGATGATTTAGAAAGATTAAAGAAGATCAGAGCTCACCGTGGTATCAGACACTTCTGGGGCTTAAAGGTCAGAGGTCAACACACCAAAACCACTTCCCGTGGTCGTTAATTTTAAGTTACTTGGGTATTCATAGTTTACTTTTAAAATAGTTATTTTAGGTTTATTTTTGTTATATTTTTCCATGTAATTTAATAATACTATATGTTTAGTTGACTGTATTGTAAACGGAGACCAGCCCTTGTTCGTGCTTCAATTGTGTTACAATTGGAATTGGGACAATTGTTTTAATTAATACCATGCTACATATTATTAGTGCCTACTAATTTACTGTCCTTGGTTTACGCTGTATGTTACTTTGTTCACTTAGTAAAATCAATTAGATGCAATAATTATACAACTAAGGCATCAAACAGATCTCAGAATAAGGTTGCCTCACCAACCTAGCCTTCGGTATAGTGAGGTACCTACAATACACGTACGGACACACAGTAACGCACCACGGTAGTTATTACCAGATATGGATCGTCTAGCCAAAGGAGCGTAAAAGTCTACAATTTGTTAGTCGCGAGACCAAAAATATTTTAACCAAATTAGGCATATTGCCTGGGTTGCAAAATGAAATAAGCTACGAACGAGTTATGGGTAAATGACGTCTATTATGATACTATGATATACTACAATGCTAAGTTTAATTCCAGTTACCGGCTCTTAAAGACAACAAATTGTTGATGCATTCCTTTTCGTTTTGTTTCTTTATAGGCCTCGATGTTTGGGTGGTATTAACATCCAATTCACCCAATGGGGCTCTCTTGGTAACATTCTTCGTAGATGATGTAGTAGATGATGAATTCAATAAGTCTTTTAAATCAGCGTTTTTAGTTACCGAGTGCTCATCTTTAGGTGAAGAATTCTCAGAACTCTGAGATTCGCTGGCTAATTTCTGGGCAAGTTTGTTTGCATTAGCGGCAGATATAGACTTAGCAGGCATCAACTTGAAAGTCATGGTACTCGAATTGTTGGAATTAAGAGAAACTGGTTGTTTCTTTGAAGTTTCATTCAAAATCAAGTTTGGTGAAGTCGAGTCGATTGAAGTATTTGATTCATCGTAATTTATGTAAGAAGAGTTTGGTGTGCTTAACGAACTGAAAACTGTTCTCTGGTTAGTTGGAGTATTCATAGTTGGTTGGGATATTTGAGCAATTGGAAGCGAAGTGGCTGATCTTGGTCTATGCTTTGTAGTGAAGGCAGATGGGCTTGGAATAAATGGCTGTGATTCAGACTTTTGTAAAGTAGGCTTTATTGGGGTAGAAATTGAAACCGTAGAAGGTAATTCGGTAATTTCCTTTTCCACGGATGTTTGCTTTCTAAGAGATTGTCTTTTGTTTTGAAACCAAATCTGAACTGCCTTTTCAGTCATGGATACCTTCTCAGCGATTTCTAGTCTTCTCAACTTATTTGGGGTTTGACCTATGTCAAACTCATTGTTCAATATAGTCAATTCATTTGGGGAAGTTCTTCTTCTCTTCCTTCTCGCCAATGGAGCGTTGTCAATCGATGGCTCTTGCGATGGGAATGTCACCGGTGAATGACTGATGAATGCGTAGGATTTTTCGTTAATTGGTGAAGTCTTAGTCTTCTTGACGGTTACATCACCGCCATTTATGCTAATATCATTGTCACTGGTATCAAAACTCGAGTTTGGATTAGTGCTGATAGGTGTTGGCATGCTTCTAGCACGCTTGGATGGTGTTTGTACTGTGTGCTGTGGTACTGGATGACGAAATGGAAATTGCTGTGGGAGATAATGACAGTTGGTCAAGCTTGGAATCCGTCCGGTTTGGGTGCTTGGAGTTGTCAAGCAGTCAACAGAAGGTAACTTATGTATGGTGTTGTATTGGGTCGATGCGTCGTCAGAGTTGGTCAAAATCGACGACAATGGTGGAAGACTAGTCTTATTATTGCTACCATATGGCAATGGAGTTGGTGGTAAGTTAGGTCTCTTGGGAGTCTGCAAATACATTGAAATTGAAGACATGTCTATTAAAGAATTGTGCAACTTAAAAATTGTCCCAGGTATTACTACAAATTAATTAAGTGTATTCTATCTCTTATATATATGTATGATTTGTTGTTGGTAAATCACGGTGGCCCAATTTAAATGCACGTTATGTACCTTGAAAAGTAAAAACAACAATCAGACGTTCGATTTAGCCCAAACTCCATTTAATTATTCTCTTTGAGCTATATTAAACAGACCGTGGCTTTCAAACTCTATTTCGTGAATCGAATCTCCTATTCAATTCGCGATTCAAAATATATTTTTCTGCAATTAATATAGATGATACATGAACAAAACTTCCAAAATAAACAATAATACTCGCAATATATTCTTCATTCCGCTATTATTTATTGTAGAACACCTCCTAGTCGCCCATTTCGCGTTTTGGAACTTTCGCGTTTTTAACAATGCCTATTTTAGATGCTGCAAAATATGTAAATAAATCGAATCGCGAGAATCATTGCTTTTCTGTTTTAAGTAAATGAAATACCATTACGGACGAAATCATGTATGTGACGTATGTAATAAGTTATGAATTCAGTTTATTAGACGCTTCTAGCCATAATAAGGTTATTCTTGCTTTAGGTTCGGGTATCATAAGCATATCGATCAATTAAGAACGATCTAAAGGATGCATGCACGCCACATTCTCTGGTGCATGGATGTATGACCATAATTTGGCTTAAGAAATAAATCCATACACCAAATAATTCCTCTACACTCTCTAGGGATTCGAACTTGGGATATAACCACTGCACGTGCATCCCTAATCTAAGTCGAATGTTCTCTTGACATATATCAATTATGGTATGAATCTTCAGTAATACGTTGTTTTAGTAAGCAAAATGCCAGTTCTAATTGATGAAAAGAGTCATCGAAGCAACAAATTGTCATGGCTGCGGCTTATGATGACTGTAATTGGAATTCTTCTCATGGTATCGGGGTTGGCGGTAATGCTTGACCAGCAATCCGGTTCTGCAAATGAAGATTTGGGGGTGGAATACGCGAAGCCATCGGTAGAGGTATTGGACTTGGAAGCGTCGGAGGTCGAGCAGCTTAAAAAATTGGGGTTGAGTCCCAAACCGAAGTTGAAAGTTGTTAACGGTGGGGATGAACAGGTTTTGCACGGGAGATTCTTGCATATCACAGATATACATCCGGATAAGTACTACAAGACAGGTGCGGATGTGAATTCGTTGTGCCATAGTGGAAAGGGAAGCGCAGGGAAATATGGGGATGCTGTACTTGGTTGTGACAGTCCTATGGTGTTGATGGAAGATACACTCAAATGGATCAAAGAGAACTTGAAGGATAAGATTGATTTTGTTGTGTGGACCGGTGATAATGTCAGGCACGATAACGACAGAAGGTATCCTAGAACGGAGTCGAATATTTTTGATATGAATCAAAGGGTGAGTGATTTGATGTATGAAACGTTTAAGGAAGAGAAACCCCGCGGGGGACGCCCAAGACAATTGAAGATCCCGCTAGTTCCATCGCTTGGTAACAACGATGTTTTCCCACATAACTTATTTTCTCCGGGCCCAACTTTACAGACGAGAGAATTATTCAAGATATGGCAAGATTTTGTCCCTGCAGCTCAATTGCATATATTCAATAGAGGGGCATATTTTTTTAAGGAGATCATTCCTAACGAATTGGCAGTTTTGTCGATAAATACGTTATATCTTTTTCAATCAAACCCATTGGTCGATAATTGCGACAAAAAGAAGGACCCTGGCCATAAGTTATTCGAATGGTTAGGATATACGTTGAAGGAAATGCGGGCTAGAAACATGAAGGTTTGGCTCACAGGTCATGTTCCACCTAACGAAAAGAACTATGATATTTCATGTTTGCGTAAATATATTGTCTGGATGCATGAATACAGAGATGTTATAATCGGCGGGTTGTACGGCCATATGAATATAGATCATTTCATTCCATTGGATTCCAAGGCAGCATATAAATCCATCAAAAAGAAGTTCGGAAAGCTTGGTTTCGACTACGAGTTATCATTTGAAAATGACCTATACATACTGGATGATGACGACAATTCGGAAAGTGACTCTGACGATGACGATGAAGATATGTCACCAGAAGAATCATACTCCAATTTCAATAGTCCTATACTTAAAGGTGGATTTGAAGGTTCTGTGAATTTCAAAAATATGGATGATATCAGAATCCAAGGAGGAATCCCAAATGGTAAGGTGGGATACATGGAAAACTTGAGGAAGGAATATTACGCAAATGTAAAGGGGAAGAAGAAAAGTGGATATGTATCAGAAAGATATTCTATCGCACATGTAACGGCAAGTGTCGTTCCAACGTTCAACTCTGGGTTAAGAGTATGGGAATACAATATCACCGACCTCCAAAATCTCCTCACTTCCGATACCCAGCCAAAATTTGCTCCATGGGATGAGTTCTTCGAGGGACTCGGAAAGTTGATGGAAACGCAAGTAGAAGCCGACTACGACGACGAATTCATTACTTTCGGACAACAAGTGGAAATATTCAAAAAGGACAATACATTCCCTCCTAAAATGCCAAAATCCAAATCTTTGGGTCCGGCCTACATACCTCAAGCATTCACTCCCGAGAGATATGTTCAATATTACGCAGATTTAGCCAACATAAACAAAGGAGAGAAAGAATTTTCCTACGAATTTGAATATGCCACCGACGATAAAGTCTATGACATGGATTCCTTAACCGTCGATGACTGGATTTCGCTTGCTAGAAGGCTCGGAAAACCTGTTAAAGAAAAGAGAGACAAGAAAAACAAGTCAAGTAAGAAATCGAAGAAAAAGAAGAAGAATAAAGACAAAAGCTTGCTGGAAAGTAGCGAACCCTTAAAAAAGCAAGACGATTCTAAAGACAGTAGTTTGGAACAAGACCACATTCAGCAATCAGGCAGGTTACAAACTTTATGGCAGCATTATTTGAAACACTCGTTTGTCAGTTCTGAATACGAGAATATGGGCATGGGCTGATTGTCTATATAGTTAGAAGAGTAGACTATCATAAATCATAATCTATAAAT